CTGAGACTGTGTGGACTGCCTTCTCACAACAGATATGAGTGAGAGAATGCTGATCCAAATCCAGTCCCTTGGTTTCAGGCTGGACTGTTGTTAATCATAGCCACTATGTGCTTACTAGGGCACTCCTGAAACCCGTAAGAAATGCTAGCCTTGGAGAGGTTGGCTCAAAGCTTAAACATTTCTCACTAGTCAACATTAAATAAATCTTTCTGGCCTCAGTTTACTCTATTTAAATGAGGAAATGAGGCTTTATGGCAATGGGGTCCCCTCCCCCTGCTTCCTAAGGCTGGATCATGCATCTGTTGCTGTTGAAGGAGAATGAGAGCAGGGCACAGTGAGGTGAATTTACACCTCATTCTCTTATCTCTCTAGGGTATCAAATGAGAAGCATATTGATATCCTAGCCAACCTCGGGTTCCTTTTTCATCTTCCTGCTACAATCAGGATGTGAGCCCGAGAAGTGCAGGCTCTGTTCTTTTTAGAGTGCAGCAAATGAGCATCAGCCCATTTTGAGAAATGAGTAGAGAGAGCCCCAGGACACAGAGATAGTGCAGTGAGACTATGGTGACTTATCACCCAGGAAACCACTTGTCCAGTAACTTTGAACAAAGCCCGGAGCAAGGATAACTGTTCAAATGGCTGTGAAAGCAGAGGAATCAGTTTGGCTGATTGATGGCCTCAGTTTCTAGTTAGTGGGTGGCTTCCTGCCATGGCTTTGCCTCAGCTCCCAGAATTACTCCAATAAGAGGTTTGCTCATCTCTAGCACTTCCTGGGCATAAGAGAGGAGGCTGAATCAGCCCTCTTACAAGTGTGATTAGAATTTAATGGGAACTGGTGGGTATTGGCACACCGAGGGCAGTGTGGGGAGAGGAGTAGAATTATCAGGCTTGACGGAAGTGTCTGGCTCCTGCCTGTAGGTGTGGAGGGGAAATCAGAAAAGAACTAATTGCAAAGCAACTGTCTTTCAATTATCTAGAGGGAATGCAGACCGAATGTGTCATTAAGACTGTTTATCTAACACAGCCCCAGTCATTGCAATCTGTACAGACCAAGGGCACTCTCCAGACTGAAGAACAGTAATGAGCAGCTTGTCAAAGACCTAGTCCAGTAGGACACACTTGGGATAATAGGGAGAGGAGACCCTGTTATAACCCAGACCTTTGTTCAGCCCTGGCTCTGCATTGACCACCTGTGGGACCTAGGTCAAGTTACTTAATCTTTCTGAAACCCAGTTCAATTCTTTCATCATATAGTGAAACACTGCTAAGAATATCTACTCTTCCATTTATCTATTACTGCACAACAAACTACATAAAAACAATCACTTCATTAGGCTCCAGGTCTTAGACCAGGAATTCAAGCAACACAATTGATGTGGTTCATCTCTGCTGCACATACCTGAGGTTCCAGATGAGCAAACCCAAATGACTAAGGGTTGGAATAACCTCAATACTTCACTCATATAGTCCCAAGTAGGGGTAACTCAAGGGCTGGGCTCAGTAGGAGATGGCTAGAGTATTTACCTGTGGCCTCCTTAGCATAGGGTCTCGGGATTCTTAAAAGCTGATATTCTAGAAAACAAGTTAAAACTCTATGACTTCTTATGACTTAGCCCTAGAAGTCATAGGGCATCACTTCATTTGAACTCAATGAGTCAAATCATTCACAAGTCTACCCAGATTAAAAGAAAGGGACATATAGCCTACCTCTGTATGGAAAGGACATATCTAGCCAAGTTTTGTTGTTATTTGCTGTGTTTTATTTAAGACCAACTCCAGACTTGCTATGTAGCCAAAAATGACCTTAAATTGTAATCCTCTTGCCTCTACCTCCACTGGTTTATGACATCGTGGGATTAAATCTGGGGTCTCATGCCTGATACAAAAATACTTGGTTTTATTTAAGTAGGTAGATGGATTCATGAGTAGCCGGTTCTGCTATGACCAAGGATCGCCTTAAAACTAAGTTTCTGACTTAGTCTTCTTCATCTTTACCAAATCTACCTTTCCCAGGGGTCACCTTAAGATGTCTACAATTTCCTAGCCTGGATTTGCTGTGTGCAATATACAAAATATGGTTAAAAAGGAGTACTAAACTGATGTTCTCATTGGCCCATGGAATGAGGGATTCTCAGTAGATGCATTTAAGACATAGGCTTTCCTCTTCACTGCCTAGCTGATGAGATGGTTTCTGGGGCTCCTTGGAGGCTGTTGTGGCTGAAATGAGGCCAATGTGTGTTTGAGCTCTGTTTAGTAAGATTTGCTGATTGTGCTCAAAGACTATCAACTGTGAACTGAATAAATGATTTGAAAGAGCAAACAAACAACAAAAACAGAACAGAACAGGTGTGGCTTTGGACAGATATGATGATGATGATGATGATGATGATGAAAAAGAAGAAGAAGGTGGAGGAGGAGAAGGTGGAGGAGGAGGAGGAAGAGGAAGAGGAAGAAGAAGAAGAAGAAGAAGAAGAAGAAGAAGAAGAAGAAGAAGAAGAAGAAGAAGAAGAAGAGGAAGAAGTCAAGTACTAGGCAAGGAGCAGGACTAGGTGTTGAAGGGTTGGGAGAGCCAGGACTCCTTGAGCTTGGAATCTTGTATCTGCCACCTCCAAAGCAAATCACAACATGAACAAAAACTTAAATATCTCTTTGTTTCAATTTCTTGCTCTGCAGAAAGGGGCACAGAGCAATGGGTGCCAAGGATTCTTTTAGTTTAGCAGACTCAAGAATCTCCTTGTTGACAGATTCAAAGGGCCCTTCTCGGTCCTTATCTTGACTGGCTCCTTGTAAGTATTTTACACTGTCAATTATTTTCTTTCTTTCTTTTTTTGTTTTGACTCATTCATTTTCTGGATCTTCAAAAACAACTCTCTGTCTCTCTGAGCACTCCTTTTATTCTTCATGACTTCTTTACCACTTGTCATTTAAAAGGGGTCCCTCTTTTCTTCCTACTACTGACACATTTGTAGGCCGAAGTTTCATTCACCACTGCAGCTTTCAGACCTCCCTTGATATTTGTATGTTAGTCAAAACTCTTTCACTAACATCATGGTGTATTAGTTACTTCTTGTAACTAAGATACCCCCACACAAAAAAAAACAATTTAGGAAATAAAATTTTTATTTTGGCTAACAGTTCCAGATGGTTAGAGTCCATCATGGTGGGAAAGGCGTGGCAACAGGCAGCAGGAGTAGGAAGCTAATTGATCCCATTTCCATCCACACCCAGAAAGTGGGAGGGAGGACTGGAAGTGAGGTGGGGTTATAAATCTCCAGACCCCACCCCCCGTGGCATACTCCCTGCTGTAAGGCTATACGTATGAAAGCGTTGTTGTACAGCATTTTCCTCCTAATTGAAACATCCCTTCTAGGAGGGAGAGGAATGCTCATGATACTCAAGGAGGAAACAAAAATTCACATGGCTAGGAAAACAGAAACTTGGAAAATGGTTGAGAGCCTCTTCCCAGCAGTGTAGAAATGAGTCAACAACTGCTTGGGAGAGGATTCTGACCAACTGAACTGAGTAGAGAAGGGGTTATCAAGCTGCCTGCAAGCTATGCTGAGGCCTCTGGGTTGCAGGGTTGTGTTTTTTTTTGAGCCTTCACCTGTGCTGGGGTGGGATTGTTAGTAAGTCAGCAGTTTGAGTCATCCCTGCTCCTTGTAAATCATCTCCCACACATAGTCCTGTTAGTAACTCTACTAAACACTCACTAGTTCCCCAAGTTGGACACCGGTGCAGTTGTTGCTTCTGTCTATCATGGATTACCTTTGTGGTTGAGTAGGTGTGTGTGTGTGTGTGTGTGTGTGTGTGTGTGTGTGTGTGTGTGTGTGTGTTGTATCTTGCCAGGAAAAGTTAGTCATAAAACTATGTTCCATAACCTCCCTCAAACAACACCATCAACCGAGAACCAAGTGTTCAAATACATGAGTTTGTGGGGGGCATTTCTTATTCAAACCATCACCCATAGCATACAAACCAATATCTAGTGTAGGAGACATGGTGTCTTAGTTAGGGTTTCTATTGTTGTGAAGAGACACCATGACCACAGCGACTCGTATAAGGAAAGCATTTAATTGAGGTGGTGGCTTACAGTTCAGAGGTTCAGTCCGTTATTATCATGGCGACAAGCATGGTTGCATGCAGGTAGACATGGTGCTGGCTACATCTTGATCAAAAGGCAACAGGAAGTTGACTGAGATACTGGGTGCTATACCAAGCATTGGAAACCTCAGAGCCAGCTCCCACAGTGACATACTTCCTCCAACGAGGCCATACCCACTGCAATATCGCCACACCTCCTAATAACAGTGACTCCTTGTGAGAACATGGGGCCTAATTACACTCAAACTACCACACATGGAAAGCATTGGCTCCAATAATTGAAAAGTCCAGAAAATGAAAATAGTTTTGGTGCTGTCAAGGGATGCAAGAACAGGTTCATCTGTGTCAATTAAATGAAAAGACAGGAAAGAAGACTTATGGGAAATCCTGGGGAGTCCCAGCAGAGCCATCATATGGAACCTAGGAAACTGTGATCCTATCTGAAGTTCCTAGTCTCAACAAATAAACTTAAGAATGGGTATAAACAAAAACTTTTAAATTAAACGAATTTGAAATTGTGTATCAAAGTTAGTGGGATGCAATGAAACAGGTGTTTAAAAGAAAAATGTGTGTAATTAAATGCTTATGTTTGAGAACAAGACAGGTGTCAGCATTCTAAGATATCATCTTGAAAAACTAGGGGAAAAAACTCAAAGCAGTCAGAAGTAAGGATAATAAAGGCCAGAAATTAATGAAATTGATAACAGAAAAATGGTAAAGTCAACCAAGACAAAAGTTGCATTTGTTAAAAGGCCAATAAAATTGATAAATCTCTAGCTAGAATAACAATGAGAGAGAGAGAAGACACAAATTCCCAGTATGCAGGTGAAAATCAGAATGCCACAGACCGCAGTCACAAACCAGAAAGAAATGCCACCGTGGCGGGAGAAATGACTTACAGTTAAAGCTCTGGCTGCTCTTCCAGAGGACCTGGCTTTGGTTCCTAGCACCCACACAGTGGCTCACAATCATCTGTAACTCCTGTTCCAGGGAATCCAATGGGCTCTTCTGCCCTCTATGATGCAGACATACTGGCAAAACACTTCTACACATAAAATAAAATAAATATTTTTTTAACTTAAAGAAAAAATACTACGAATTTAGTACTTATGTTTATTGCCACCACATTAGAGGTGGTTGGGACCTGGGAGAATGCAGTCAATAAATGAGGTGGACTAAAGTCTCACACCATAGCCAACTTTATTCAGAGCCTCAGACAATTTATACTCTGAGGGTTAAGAAAGGTCACATGAGTAAAGTTCTCATGAGTTCAAGCTGTCTACAATCACAAAGACAAGCTCCTTGTGGCAAAAACATGTTTTTCCATAGAGGCATAAACATTAATTGAGTAACACCAGTAAGAAACAATGAGTAATCTGAAGTCAGCTGACTCCTGTCCGCACACCTGGGAGGAACACGAAAGCACTCCAAGGGAAATTCCACGTTCTGAAGGAACCCAAGTCATAAGACTCTTAGCTTCTTTCCTTGGAGAGTCCTCACAGGCACTCAGAATTCTCCTCACAACTCCATTCCTGGACTGTGTTCTGACAGTTGTGACTTAAATCTACAACTTACTGGAAAGCAATGGGTTTCTTGAAAGTCACAAATTACCAAACCTCACCCAATAATGACTGAAATATTTCCAAGTATACTAAATAATCAAACTAGTATTAAGGAGAATATGCTTAACCAGTATGAAAAATTTAAATATAAAATTAAAATAAGTAGCTAAAAATATTCTTAACAAATATAACTGTAGGCCCATGCCTATGAGTCCAACAAAATATTAGCAGATCATTTATGTACATATACAAATCTTCTTCTCTCTTTTCTCTCTCTTCTCTCTGCCTCCCTCTTCCCCTCTCCTTTCTCTCTTCCCCCTTTTTCTCTTCCTCTTTCCTCCTCTTCTCACCCCCCCACACACACACGTCTTGACCTAGTGAGATGTATTTTAAAAGTTCAAAACCAGCTCAAAATGTAAAAATCAATGCAATTCACCACATTAACACAGTAAAGGAACAAACACAAAGGCCATTTAATGACTCAGAAAAGTATTTAGTTACACTCAATATCCAGTCATAATTCATTTTCAAAATCTTTTAACAAACTGAAATTAGAAGACAGCTTCCATAACCTGAAAAGTGTGTTTATAAGGAACACTGACATCATTTTGCATAAGACTGGGAGCAAGACCACACTCATTGTGCCATTTCAATATCCTACAATTACCAAACAATTAGCCTTAGCCACCGTAATAAGGCACATCAAAGAAATACAGGACATACCTATTGGAAAGTCAGAAACAAACTGTTCATATTCCACAGATACTATGTCTGCCTATATGAGAAATCCCAAGGAATCTACAAAAAGAAAAAGTTCTGGAACTAATAGGTTGAGTTTGACAAGGTTATAGGACCTAAGGCCACTGTGTAAAAAAGTAATCATATTTCTGTATACTACCAATGAATGATTAGAAACTCAAGATTATAAAATAGAACAATGGGGGCTGGAGAGAAGGCTCAGCATTTAAGACCATGTACTACTTTTGCAGAGGATCTGAGTTTGGTTCCTGGCATCCATGTCTGGTGTCTCACAACCACCTATAACTAAAAGGCGGGTGAATCTGCCACCTCTGACCTCCATAGCCACTGCACATGTATATGTGATAGATGCACATACATATGCATACTTTTAAAATAAAAATCACATGATTATATTTTTTCAGATACCTAGGGAAGTTGAACACTTTTTAAAATAGTTATTGGCCACTTACCTTTTTTAAAAACTGTCTATTTAATTCATTAATCCATTTGTTGGTTGGCAGTTTTATTTCCTTGGTATTTAATCTCTACAGTTCTTTATAAATTCTGCATATTAGCCCATTTGAAGTGTAGCTGTCAAAGCTTTTCTTCCATTTCATGGGCTGCCTGTACTCTACTGATAGTTTCCTTTGCTGTGCAGAACTTTTTAATTTCATGTAGTCCCATCTGTTGACACTCAAGACTGGTCCTGTGCTATTGGAGTTCTGCTCAGAAAGTTCATGCATACCCCCAAGGCTTTAGAGAGTAAGCTCCATGTTTTCTTCTAGCAGGTTGAACATTTCAGGCTTTAAATTAAGGCCTTTGATCCATTTTGAATTGATTTTTATACAAGGAGAAAGATGCAAATCTAATTTTTCATTTGTTTGCAGGTGGATATCCAGTTTTCCCAACACCATTTGTTGAATAGCCCATCTGTGTCAAAATTAGTTGAGCAGAATTTTATGTAGTTTTGCATCCTTTGTCAAAAATTATGTAGACATATCTTTGTTGGTTAGTTTCCAGAAACTCTGTTCTATCCACTGGTCTAGGTGTCTATCTTTTGCTGATACCAGGCTGTCTCTATCACTTAGCTATAGAGTATAATTCGAGGTTGGGTATTGTGGTAACTCCAGCTGTCTTCTTACTCCCTAAAATTGGGTATTCATGGTCTTTTATGGTTCCATATTTATTCTTGGATGTTTTTTTCTAAAATCTCTGGAATATGATGATGTATTTGGGTAGGTGTTGTATTAAAACTGTAGATTAATTTTGGTAATATAGTCATTTCTACAATATTAAGTCTGCTAATCCAGGGGCATGGAAGATCTTTGCTCTATCTAGTATCTTCTTTGATATCCTTAGTCGATGTCTTGAAGTTTCCATTGTAGAGGGTCTTTCTCTTCTTTGGTTAGATATATTCCTAGACATTTAATTGTTTTGAAGTTATTTGAGTAGGATGTTTTTCCTAATTTCCTTCTCTGAGAGTACATTGTTGGGATATAAGAAGGCTACTGATTTTCATATTGATTTTGAATCCTACAACTTACTGGGTTTATTAAATCTAACTTTTCTAGTGGATCCTATAGGATATTTAAGTAAAGACTTATACATGCAGAGAGCAAGTAGGGATAGTTGGACTTCTTCCTTTCCTATTTTTACTCATTTTATATCTCTGTCTTGTCTAACTACTATAGCTAGGACTTCAAGCACTCGATCAAGTAAGAAAGAGTGAGCGTTCTCACCTCATTCCTAATTTTAGAGAAATGTTTTGCTTGTCTCCATTTAGTATAATACTGGCTATGGGTTTGTTGTATATAGTCCTTATTATTTGGAAGTATGTTCCATCTATTGTTAATGTCTCCAGGACTTTTTTTTATCATGAAGACATGTTGAACTTTGTCAAATGCCTTTCAGCATCAATCAAGATCATTATGTGGTTTCTGTCCTTAAGTTAATATATTTGTTGACTTATTTATGTTGAGCCATAATTTTCTTTTTTCTTTTTCTGGTTTTTTCGAGACAGGATTTCTCTGTGTTGCTTTGGTGCCTGTCCTGGAACTTACTCTGTAGACCAGGCTGGCCTTGAACTCACAAAGATCTGCCTGACTCTGCCTCCCGGGTGCTGGGATTAAAGGCGTGCACCACCACCACCCGGCGACTTTGCCTTTCTTGATTGAATCCCATTTGGTCATGACGTATAATCATTTTAATGTGTTACTGAATTCAGTTTATACTATTTTGTTGAGCATTTTTGCATCTATGTTCATCAAAGAAATTGGCCTGTAGTTTTCTTGTCCAGTTGTGTATTAACTGGGTTTTGTGTCAGAATAACACTGGTGTCGCAGAATGAATTTGGAAGTGTCCCTTCACTTTCTATGTTGTATAGCAATTTAAAAAAATGGCATAAGATCTTCCTTGAAAATTTGATAGAATTCAGCAGTGGATTTATCTAGTCCTGGGCTTTTCTTTGAAGCTTTTGATTATCAGAGCTTTGATCTCATTGCTTATAATGAGTCTGATTAAGTTATTTATATCTTCTGGCTTTAATTTTGGTAGATGATATACATTTAGGAAATCTATTTCTTTTAGATTTTCAAGTCCTTTAGTGCATAAGTTTTCACAGTAATCTCTCAAAACGCTCTGCATGATATTGGAGTAGGCTGGAAGTCACCCTCCTGACCTGGAATTTCGTTAACCTGTGTCTTCCTCCTATTTCTTTTGGCGGTTTAGCTCAGGGTTTGTCTATCTCACTAACTTTTTCAAAGAACTGTTTGATTTTGTGTATTGTTTTTTGGTCTCTATTTCATTGATTTCTTACCTAATCTTTATTATATTCACTTGGAATTGGCTGCTTGTTTTGTGAGAGCGTTGAGGTGCATCGTTGGGTGGTCTATCTAATATTTCTCAGATTCTTTAATGTGAGTGCTTATCACTGTAAACATACCCTTAGGACTTCCTTGGCTGCATCCCAAAAGTTCTGAGAGGTTGTGTTCTCATTATAAATTGTTTTTAGGAATCTTTAAATTTTCTCCCTAACTCCTTGGATAACCCAATTTAAAAATGTATTGTTTAGTCTACAAGTATTCTGTGGAGTCTGTACTTCCTCTTATTGTTGATTCCCAGTCTTATTCCATCGTGGTCTGATAGGATATAAGGGATTATCATAGATTTTTGGATCTTTAAAATTATTTTTATCTTATTTCATGTATGTAAATGTTTGCCTACAGGTTTGTCTGTGCACTACATGTAAACGTAATGCCCTTGGAGGCCAGAATGGGGCATCAGGACCCTTGGAACTGGAGTTAAAGATGGCCATGAGACACCATTTGGGTGTAGATGTAACCAACCGTCTTATTAAATAAGAAACACAGAGCTGATTCAGAGAAGAAAGCCAAGAGGTCAGAGCTAAGAGCCTCACCCTTCCTGCTTCAGCAATCCTTTTCAGTCAAGAGAGCTCTCCGAAAGGGACCTACTTCCTGTGTGTATGTCTTTATATAGTCTAGCTGTTCTGCCTTCTCATTGGTTGTAAACCCAAACACGTGACTGCCTCATCACTGCATGTATGTACCACCCTCCAAGTCCTTAAAGGCGTGCGCCACTGCCGCCACACTCTTGCTATGGCTCTAATAGCTCTGACCCCCAGGCAACTTTATTTATTAACATACAATTAAAATCACATTTCAGTACAAGTAAAGTACCACCACATTTGGGAGCTGGGAATCAAACCTGGATCCTCTAGAATAGCAGCCAGTGCTCTCAACCACTGGGTCATTCCCCAGCTCCTGCTTAGTATTTCTGACATCTGACTATGATGTGTCATGGGGACTTTCATCTCTGGTCATGTCTATTCAGAATTCTTTATATCTCTTGTGTTTAGCTGTCTACTTCTTTTCTAAGTTTATTGCTATAATTTCATTAAATAGTATGTCTGTTTCATTTTCTTTTTATCTCTGCTCCTTTTTCTACACCATGAATTCTCATTAATTTCTTAATTTGATATTTCTCTAATCTTTTTAATGTAGGCACTTTGTTCTATAAACTTTAATCTTGCAACTGTATTCATTTGTGTCCCACAGATTATGGTGTGTTGTGTTTTCATTTTCATTCAATTCTAGGAATTTCTAAATTTTCTTCTTGATTTAATTCTTAATCCAATTAGCATTCAGTAATGTGTCTTCAATTTCCACAAATTCATGCATTTTCTGTAGTTTCTACCACTGTTGATATCCAACTTTATTTCATTGTGGTTAGATAAAATTCAGGATATAACTTCAGTTTTTCTTTATTTGTTGACTATTGCTTTGTGTCCTAATATATAATCAATTTTGGAGAAAGTTCCATGGGCTGCTGAGAAGAACATGTTCTTTAGTGTTTGGATGGAATATTCTGTAGATACCTATTAAGCCCATTTGATTTATAATGTCATATATTTCCATAGCTTATTTCCAGATGATCAATTTGTGAGAGTAGGGTATTAAAATCACTCACTATCACTCTGCTGGGGTACAATGTGATTTAGGTTTAACAGTGTTTTTTTTTTTTAATGAAAGTTGGTGCCCCTGTGTTTACTGCATTTATCTTCTGACTAGTTTTGATTTGAAGTCGATTTTGTCATATAATAGAATAGCTATACTTGCTTGTGTCTTAGTTCCATTTGCTTAGAATACATTTTCCCATCCATTTACCTTAAGGGGATATTGTCTTTGTTGGTGAGGTGTGTTCCTTTGAAACAACAAAGAGGTGGATCCTGTTTTCTAGTCCAATTTGTTAGTCTGTGTCTTTTTATTGGGGGAACAAAGACCATTAATACTCAGTTATTATTAAAAGATGCACATTACTCCCTGCCTTTTTTGTTCATGACACCTTTCTTCTTCCATCATAGGCATTTAAAGTGTCCAGGATGGGCCTAATTCCGAGAAGGGTTGGTGTCTCAATTTCTCTGTTTACCTGATATTTGGAGAAACAGCCTCTATCCAGGTCTTCAGTTGCTCAAGAGTTTGGTCAAAGAGCCAAAAAAGTTTTCCTCTGGTAGTGTGTCTCATTATGGTTTTCTTTTTGTTTGTTTGTTTTTGTCATTATTGTTGTTTTGAGACAGGGTTTCTCTGTGTAGCCCTGGAAGTCCTGGAACTCGCTCTATAGACCAGGCTGGCCTTAAACTCCCAGAGTACCACTGCCTGGCTCTCTGGTTGTGGTTTACAGTGCTGGTTAGAGCAACTGGAGGGTGCCAGTCAGACAGATGACAAGGCTCTAGGACTCTTGGGCACACATGATAGCTGACAGGAATTGAGCTGAGATCTGATGAGTTCCAGAGGGACGGAGATGGGTTGAGAGGAGGTAGATGATCTTGGCAAGCAACCAAGGGGCTTGGGTAACTCTAATGGAGCAGGAAGTGAGATAGAATGTTGGTAGTCTGTCTGGGTTTATACCACAAGATGGTAGCTACAAAGTCCCTGGTAGCAAGTGAAGCTGGAATCCAAAAACTGAATATTTAAAAATGATAATAAATAATAAATTGTCTCTTTTGTTTAAACCACTTATATTTGAGTCTTTACTTTCAAACATAAGCGTCCTAAGTCATGCAGTACATGCTGCCAAACTGTTTTTTAAAAGGCTTGCCAACATTTGTAATTAGGGAGAAATGTTTAACTGGATAAGACAGTTGCTTCTGAGAATTCAGTGGTTCTAACATTAGATGTCATAAATATAATAAGATATTAACTTACCCTAGCCTCTCACTGAGCAGCAAAATATGAAGTTAATCATATCTCCCACCCTATGCCAACCTGGAGGAGCACATAGACAGAAGAGAAAGTTCTGTTCCAGGAAAGATCTTTTTACCATTGGTACTGCTTTCTCTTGGACTATGGTAGACAGGCGATTCCAGATGGTCACAACTTGAGACATGTATGGTCTTTAATACTCAAGCTTGTGAGTTTGAGGCTGGTCTGGTCTACAGAGTGAGTTCTAGAACAGTCAACATTACACAGAGATACCCTGTCTTGAAAAACTTAAAAAAAAAAACTTCCTGTTTTTGCATCATCTTCCTACTTATGCCCTCTTCTCCCTGCCTTGGTCTGCATCTTCTGCATTTTTTCAATA